ATCTCGGAAATGTTATCAGGCCAATTGTTCTACCCCGGAGAAATGAATTTGGGACAAAATTTATTTTTATGGATGACAACAATCGCCCACATCGCACTAGAAGGATAGAAAACGTGGTAGCTGAATCGAGAATGAACTGACAGGCAAACTCACCGGACATGAACCCGATTTAACACATGTGAGATACGTTTTCCGAAGCCATATTAAGAAGAACACCGATAACCCTTCGAGAGATGATTGTGGCGGCACAGGAGGAGTGGGAAAATATTCGTCAAGAACGGATAGGCAATCTGATTCTCTCAGTGCCAACGCGGGTCAATGCGTGTCGCGAAAACAGAGGAGATCACAATGAGTATTGATCTTATTTTTTATTCGTAAGTTCATTTTGTGGCTGTTCAAAATGAGCTAGAGAATGGGGTTGGAATAAAAACCGAAACTGGTATCACCCCAGTTACCATTTTGAAAGATCCTGCTTCAAAAACACTACTTGTTTATTTGTCATGTGATCGCAAGACCAATTGTGATAGAGCCTGCGGATGCAGAAAAGCAGGATTAAAATGCTCCAGGATTTGCGGTGTCTACAATTGAAAGACCACACAGACAAGCGAAAATGTCCCTCAAGCGACGTTTGACGAATCTTATGAAGTACAGCATTTCTATTAATTGAAATTACTTGATCATAGACTGATACCGTGACCTTATTGATGGAATAATTGGATGGTGCTACTTTCTCTGATCTCTCCAAGGCCTACGACTGTGTATCACATGATATTTTAATCGGAAAACTCAAATATCATGGACTGGATGACCTTAGTATAAAGCAGGGGTCAATTTTGGAACCGCTGATGTTTTCAATTTATATTAATGACTTCTCAGCTGCTTTACCAGCTTGCAAGGTTATACTTTTCGCAAATGATAATGGCTTCTCCATAAAATGTGACACTTAAAACCAGGCAAATGCCGAAATATCAGGACACGCTGGGACTGCTAGTGAATGGTTTAGGTCAAACCCTTCAAATACAAATTTGGATAAAACTGAAAACATGATCTTCTTTCAAAAAAGTTACAGTCCCACAAAACTGTGAAAAGATCAAATTTCTAAGAGTAGTTCTTGATGCAAAATTCACCTTTGAACAACAAGTTAAAGAGACCTCAAAAAAAAAATTATGCTCTGCCACCTGCGAAACATATCAAAGATAGTAGATAGCGAGACCCCTAAAATGACCTACTATAGACTTTTTCATTTTGTCTGTACGTACGGACTTTTGGCTTGGGGACATTCGGCGCATGCCTCACGTACCTTCGGTCTACAGCGGAGGGCAGTCAGAATGCAATATCAAGAAGATGTAAGATCTTTTTTTCGGCACTCTGAAAATACTGACCTTTCCAGCCCAATACATTCTAGAGTCCCTTTTGTATTTTCACAAAAACTCCACAAACTATAATTATGTACATGACACTAATAACTATAAGACTCGCCATAGGCACAACATCCACATTGAATTTTTATGTTTACAAACTTCCCGGAATGCAGCACGTCATTACGCGCCCATATTCTTCAATAAATAACCAATCAGCATCAGAAATCTCGCTTCAAACCCGGTAAAATTGTTATGTACATCTGTATGTAAAATGTTCTTGTCGCTCAAATATTTAGTGTAGGTATATATTTTTTACTATAATAAGTTTTAGTATTTACCAAGTGTGTTTTGTATTTTAAATCTACTTATGACTTTGTTAAGAAACTTTGTAAGTTTTTCAGTAATATATTTGAACTTTGAACTTTGAACGTGGATGAAAGACACACTTCTGTTTCATGACAAAATTGAATAAAGTCCTAAAAAAGTAGTTTTGATGAACCCTACTCCTACTATAGATCTTATTTCGCAAAATCGTGTCTATATAAAACTTAGGCGAAATGTTAGATTTTACGACGACTTTCCTCTATCTAAACGATTACCTTACCTTAGCGAAAATATGCAAATCACATTTTTTGTATGCAATTTCCTCCTCTTTAATTTTGTTCCCTACATATTTTTTCGAAAAACGCATAATTCGGAGAGAATTTTAGTTCTACACACCTAAATCTACAAACCTGCAAAATTTTCCGAGTTTTTTCCAGGTGAAAATCCCCAATGGCTGGCCTCTGACATTAGGCTCACTCTCCATGGCCCGATGATAAGCAAGTGGACAGGGGCTGACGAACCGTCCCTATCGGATCACAAACTCAGCTTGAACCTTGATCACAAGGTTGGGCTTATGTTCAGGAACCCCTGGAACATGAACTGGGACCAATACGTTGAGATCCCACGGGCTAAGCTAGAAGAGTTTTCCACGCCATGCCGCAGCGCAAGGCAAGTAGAGGAAACAGCTGGATTTTACGCAACATTGAAGCTGTCAGCTTCGGACCTATCGAGGAAAGAAGAAAACCTCCTGGTGAAACTCCGACCTTGACAAGGCTCGTGAAGAAACCAGCAGGATCTTCAACAGGGCCGTGCGATCTAAATCACTATCTGACTGGGACAGCCACTGGAATGACAATTTCCGGACTGTAAAATCCGTCTAACTGGTGAACCACCAATGCACGCTCCACAAGTTTGCGCAAGGCCATTTGACTGGGAGATAGCTGCGAGGGTGGTATCAGAAAACTCCGTAAGATAGGCCATTTTGAACAGAGTGTAAGACCAGATGGCATTTACAAAAGAGACTGGAACTACTGATTCAGCACCTGATACGCCTCTTCAGGGCCTGCCTCGCATATGATCAAGTACCACATTCTTGGCGTAAGGTCCAAGTGGTATTCATCCCCAAGCCAGATGCTATAGCTACGAAGCGGTCAAGGATTACAGACCCCATCAGTCTATCCTCGGCTCTTCTTAAAACGCTGGAGAAACTGGTGGAGACGTTCATTAGGGAAGAGGCATTGAAAACAATTCCCATACAACCTAATCAACACGCCTACAGGACTGCAATGTTATCTGAGACTGCTCTCCACAGACTTGTGGCAAAGGCTGGAGCAAGGCTCTATGGAGCAAGGGATGTCTCACAAAGAGATGACTCTGGGTGTATTTCTAGACATCGAAGGGGTTTTTAATAAAACGTCCTTCGACTTGATAAGAAAATGCTGCAGAGAGCTTTGGCGTCCAAAGATGGGTGTACTATCGCCTCTGCTGTGGTACCTAATGCTGGCTGGGCTGCTCCGAACTATGAACGAGAAAGGTATGTATGTATACTCAAGGCTACGCGGACGATCTTGTTATCTTTGTGGCTGGTAGGGTACCCAGGGCAGCATCATTAAAGGTATCATGCAAAGAGCCCTTAACATGGTCGAAATATGGTGCTATAATCACAGGCTTTCGGTAAATCCGGACAAGACAGAAGTCCTTAGTACCATTTACAAAGCGAAGAAACGTGGACCTGGAAGGGCTCACGCTCTTTGGATCGGGACTTGCTCCATCCGATACGTTCAAATATCTAAGGGTCATCATAGATTACAGGACCTGGAAAGATCACGTCGTTTAAGCCTAACATTTTCATACCTGAGTATGATAACTGTGAAACAATAAGTAATTCTATAATGTTCATTATATAACAGCAGTTTCATTATTTATTGATTTATTTTCCTCAAGCAGTGAAAACTTACCGCTCCTCAAACTTTATTGAAGACTTCGCTACACTCATTTTTCAAACTCTTCGACAAGGAAAGCGCTTTTACTTATCTGAATTCTTAATATTCCATTCTGTTAAAATTTTCAAACTTATTCTCATTTATAAAAGGACACCTGAGAGTTTATTTTTCAACCTAAAAGCCGCCATAAACTACTTCGTCCAGTTATAATTTCAACGATAAAAATAAGTTTAATCCTAGAAACACATTTGTTAAAGGTTTAGAGAGCGAGTTTGTTCAAGAAATACTCCAAACTCCAGTGCACCAGCACGTTTTAAAGCTTTTAAGTTTCAAGGGTACTATATTTTCATTATAAAGCAATAAATCGCGTTTAAGCTTATCGAACCGCGAAAGAACAACAACGTACTAACAAAGTTTTGTATCGAGAATTATCAGTCGAAGGAAGATTTATATTGTTGGTGGACGTTGCGACAAAAATCGATTGAAACGAATGTGTGGGATTATTTTTGCTTTTGTTAAGTTTTTCTAGGGGATGGTCATCGTTTTCTTTTTGTGTCAAAATGTAACTGGAAAAAAATTACTTTGTCAACAAGACCTCGTAAAAATTCGTAGCTTCTAAAGGCCAAAATAAAATTGTAAAGAGATTGATGTAGCGCCTAATTTTTACATATGATTGGCAATGGACCAGCGCAACTTTCCATAAGCTTTCACACACAAAAATAAAGTCTAAAGCTAAGGTCTCGCTGGTTGCATTCAGCCAAAATACAAGTGGAATACCTACCTCAATCTAAGTAAATTTCGCTTTTTCAACTCTGATGGCCAGGAATTGCCTTGAGTTATTTTTTTTGAATCGTTAGACGAGACAATCGTCCTACAGAAGTAACTTTTTACAATTCAAAGAATAAAATTGAGTCTAAGAGAATTTCAGATTTATTTTATTAGTATGGCTTCTTGCGTGCATCATTTGTGATAAATTGCCATGGGAGAGATGGACAAGCCCTTTTAGCTATAAAAGAAGCCAGCTCTAACATAAATAGGAATAATTTTAGTCTATGGCAATTCATATAATGTGAAACAAAAATTAGTTTCTACAATATTTATATTTATAATTGTTAGGGCGTGTATGATTAAATGAAAAATAGAATTCCTACCAATAGAATTCGAGTTCATCCTTAACTCTCAGTCAATTTATCTGGATAGATTAGGACCGTAGGGCGACCCTTTTAATGCGTGTAATTTCTCCGCCTCTATAACTTTTCCAGTTGTGCCTCGGAACGAGATTGATCATGATTAAGGTTTTTCTTTAACTGGTAATTTTGCCAAGGATACAAAAAACTTTCATATAAAATAAATCGTTTTCATTTTGTTTCAGGAATGGACAGTTTAAAGGAAATTGAAATAAGCATACCAGTTGCGGTACGAGTGCGAGACACCATTTCGCTTCAATGCAAATACGATTTGGAAGGAGAACCATTATACACGGTCAAATGGTATAAAGGTACAAAGGAGTTTTTTAGGTTTGTTCCTAAAGAATTGCCAAATACTAAGGTGTTTGCGTTACCTGGGATTGATGTAGATGTAAGTATATAATAATTACATAAACAATATACTATAGGAATCAGAAAGTGATTTGTTTCATGAAAATTTTCATTCAACTTTGGATGCACATTCGATTCTTTTATTTTACGATCACCAATTTTTTTTACACCGCATCCTCTCTAAATCCTAAGTAGTGTCACATTATCTAGTAAATGATTCCGCTCTTAAGTTTTATAGGACCCAAAAGTATCCTCTCTTTCAGTTAAGTAAGAGCACTCCAAACGAAGTGGTTTTAAGAAATGTTCAGCCGGAAGTAACTGGACGATATAAATGCGAAGTTTCATCGGATGCCCCTTATTTCGATACCAAATGGAATTCGGGTTACATTTATGTAATTGGTAAGTTATAATAGTTATTTATACATCAAGTGAGTTAAATGAATGTTTATTCATGAGAAGAAAGTTTAACCCACGAGCCTTAGCGAGTGGGTTAATTTTCTTCGAATGCATAAACATGTTAACTCACGTGATGTATACAAAATTTTATCCTATTTTGATGGACATTTAAATTAATAGGAATCAAATTATAAAAAGAATTCATTAAGCAGCATATGAAAACGTCTAAATATTGAAATTGGTGGTTGCTAGGGTATAACTAGTTGTTTGTTTGTATTTGCAGCAGATTCTATACTGGTAGAGTGACTTAAAAGACCGAGAGTGAGTTAAAAATATTTTAAATCACTGAGGTGATAAACGTCTACTTACCTTTGTTATTATGCGTTCAATAATGTCATTTTTAAACGTCAAAATTGGATAAATTAAATTTAAAACAAAAAAATTAAAGTATATTATTGACACCAGTTAAAATACATAGTTAGATATAAAGCTAATTTTCCATTGCTTACTCGCTTGGACCAAATTTCAAATTGTTACGAAATAAACTCCAACTTTAATACTGGTGAGGTATTGTTGCCAACCGAGTGTTAAACTGAAACTAAAAAGTTCCATTAGAAGTTGCATAACAATGTTTGAAAAGCCCAACCATTTAATACTAAATAATTATGTTCCGTTTTGCAATTTTCCATTTCCATTCTTCATGCTCTATATATAACAACGGAGTTGATTAAAGCTTACTTTAAAATTTTAAGCGAAAGGCATAAGCCCTGTGCTCCACTTTCTCTCGACTCTATGGTTTTCTCATAATGGAAAAGCTGTTGATTTTTATTCTCAAAGTTTTTAGTTTCGATGTAAAATTATTAGGACATCCGATGAATTGTTCTGGAATCTGTAGCTAGAAAAGTTTTCTATTGACCTGATTATTGCCTCTTATATTAAGCTATAAGTATTATATGTTTTGTTTCAGATGCTCCCTTGGATGACCCCTCATTATTAATAGAAAAAAACTACGTAGATGTAGGTGATTTTATTACTGGAAACTGTACGACATTGCCCTCGTATCCAGCGACAAATGTTAGTTGGTATCTTAATGGCAAACGAGTAAGTTTAATTGTTGTTGTTTTTCATAATAATTCCAAGACAAATATTTTCTTTATTTTCAGATTCCTGAGAGGTTTTCTAAAAAGCTCGAAGTAACGCCGGAATTCATGTCGAGTCGACGCAAGCATTATGTTACGATGTCTGGAATTGAATTACAAATTATGGAAAGCACATTTCAGGTATCCAACCGCAAAACTATAGTTATCTTTAAATCAATATCAGCATTTTCAAACTTATACGTTCAGTCATATCATCGTTGTGTGAAAAATCCGAAACATGAAAATCTGCATAGATACGTTTTCTTTCTCTATGTTCAATTCTGTGTCAATTTCATTAGTTAGAACTTTGACATCTTTAACTTCATAACAGGGTTTTGTTTCAGTGATCTCATCTTTATTCACATCTATCTCAATATTGAATTTACTAGAGGTGGATAATTATCCAAATTATTATCGGGTACAGTCCGTCCATTTTAATCTGATACTCAAAAGGAATGTGAGCTGGTGGCTCTCTACGTTAGAACATCACGCACGCTAATTCCTCTAGGAATTTTTCCGATTTTTACTACCTACATTTATATTCAATCTTGGAAATAAATAACAAACAAATAAATGGTATGAAATTTTGTAATTGGATTTGGATATAAATAAACTTATATTACATATTATAATGATCACCTCTGACGTCACACCTGTTTTTGCCATATGCTTCAGCCCCTCGCTCCTCATACGGAAAGTGTCAGATTTAAAACGACGGACAATATTAATATGCATTTCTCTTATAAAGGATGTTCCATTAAGAGTTTCCGGATGTTTTTTTTTTTTCAATTCAAACGAAAAGCAAACTGGGAAACATTTAATACTTTATAGCAATTAGTAACATGATCGTTTAAAATTATATGTGAAACACAATATCCAACAAATGGCCACTGCGACTTCTCTCACAGCACACAATTCTTTTGCCAAAATTTTCGATCACATCTGTGCACATTTCCGGTGGTATCTCATGAATAATGCACCGAATTTCATCCTTCAACTCTTGAATTGTTTGGGGATTGTTCACATACGCTTTACTTTTGATGTGACCCCACAAAAAAAAGTCTAGTGGCGTTAGATCGCAAGATCTAGGCGGCCAACTAACATCTCTATTTCTTAAAAGAAGTTTACCTTCCAACCGTGTTTGCAATAAGTCAATGGTTTCTCTTGCTGTGTGACATGTTGCGCCGTCTCGTTGTGGGGTTACATCAAAAGTAAAGCGTATGTGAACAATCCCCGAATAATTCAAGAGTTGAAAGATGAGATTCGGCGCATTATTCGTGAGATACCACCGGAAATGTGCACAGATTTGATCGAAAATGTTGGCAAAAGAATCGTGTGCTGTGAGAGAAGTCGCGGTGGCCATTTGCTGGATACTGTGTTTCACGTGTAATTGTAAACGATCATATTACTTATTGTTATAAACTATCAAATATTTCCTAGTTTGCTTTTCGTTTGAATTAAAAAAAAAAAAAAAACATCCGGAAATTCCCTTTGGAACACCCTTTACAATTCAGGTTTCAATGTGCAGTGCAGTGCAATGTGAAGTTCGAAAAGTTTAACATAACTCTTGGGTATATGAAAGATTTTTCTTTGATCATAAGCTCAATTTGGGATTAGGCAATAGATTTTCAAACAATTTTAAAATGTTTTCTCTCTTCAGTACTTAGCTATGAAAAGCTTAGCTCTTGCTTCAGCTTGGTCTACTACAGGAACGATATTCTTTTTCCTAATCCAAATCTACAAAATTTCATTTATTGTTATGTTATAGTGCTTCATCTTCTAATTGTATTTCTCATCGCATTCCTCTCTCTGATCAAAATTTTTTGGCTTTCAAAATGTATATAAACTTTCATTTATTATCCATTATGCATTCTGATAATATTTTTATTTGCTTTCTTGTTTTTCCTCTCTAACAAATGCATTCTTGCGGTCTCCAAAATAAGCATTTATGGCCTATTTTCATAGTTTGGGTTTCTTTTAACATTCTCAGATTATACATTGAAAAATTTAAGTTCTTCGGCACCATAAGATCATTTCGTTGATTATCTTGGATCTTCATCTGCAGTATTCTATAGAAATTATATGTTATTTCTAAGCTATTAAATTTGTTAGTGATGCTATTGTATGATGAACCATAACCTCATTAATTTTGTATTTTTTCTAGTTTCCAGGAACTTCTCCGCATTGTCTTTCTCCTTAGGCGGCATTTTTCAGCGTTTTTATACTTTATTCGTCCAAATTTTTTGGGATTCTAGCAGCATCGATTAGGTTTATGTATCTCTCTAATAGAGGGCAATACCATTCAAAACTATTATATTAGGTAGGCTGCTCATTATTAGGGTGCACTTATTTGTGAGTTTACTATGTTATGAAGTGATGGCGCTACCAGCTACTAGATTGTAGATTGTCGGAGTCGTTTCGGCTTTTCAGCTGCTCAGCACTGCTACCTTTGCAGATATTTTGTACGTGACTCTGGGTGACTACTAGCTACTAACAATAATACTGAATGCGGAGGATAAATATTATTATTCATTTTTTGGTGAAGGAAACTTGATTCTTGTATAAGATCTCACAAAAGTCCACTTTTCCCTAGGTTCTCCAGGTTTGATACAATGAGTTTATCTTCTAAATATGAATTTTTTTACCTTTCTCGGTAGGTAGTGGAAAATAATTTTATGTATTTTCTACTTCATCTCACTTCTGAATTATTTAATATAAGATCTTTGGTCACTCAAGTCACTACATTAGTAAATATCAGATTAGTAATTACCTAAATATTTTTTCATCTATTAATCAGGATAGGTAAGAGTTATTTTTTTTTATACACACTGTTCCCATTTTTCCTTTAACATAACATTTTTAGAAGTTTCTGATGAAATTCACGTTCCTCTGCATTGAAAGCACTGTTTTTTCTGTTATATTTTAAAACTAAGAGTTATTATTTCCCATATAGGTATGTTTTTTGGCATCACGGCCAACGCAGAGGCGTCAAATTATGTACAGGGTGACTTAGAGTAACATCCTGTAGCGCCTCGGATTTTCAGTCGCAGCACGTCGCACAATCTCAATGTTCTCTGGGGTTCCGATGGACTTCTTCCATCTTCCATTTTCAGCCGTTTTCTATCCTTAGGATATAGGCCTCTTTCAAATTTGACCATTGTCTTCGGCTTTGCGCAACTCGGTACCAATTCAAGCCTGCAACCCTCTTTATATCGTCGTACCATCTTTGTTGGGGTCTTCCAACACTTCTCCTCTCTTCCCAAGGTCTCCATCTAGTGATATACCCGCTCCAGTTTTCTGTATGTCTGGCAACGTGTCCTGCCCATTGCCATTTTAGGGAACCAATTCTTTTTATTATTTCGGAGACTTTGGTTCTTTGCCTTATCCATGTATTTGTTTTGTGGTACCTCAGGGAAATTCCTAAAATTCGTCTTTCAATGGCTCTCTGATGTACTTCCAATTTGTGTTTAATTCTTCTGGTTATCACCCAGGTCTCGCAGCCATACGTGACAACAGGCAGTATGCACTCGTTATAGACTTTTGATTTTAAAGTCCTTGGAATATTCATGCTGAAGATGTACTTTAACTTGCCGTAAGCCGCCCATCCCAGTCTAATTCTCCTATCAATTTCCATTTCTTGATTTTGTTTGCCCGGTGTTATAGCTTGGCCAAGGTATATGTATGTTTCTGTCTTTTTTATTGTGCTGTCATGGATCGGTATTGTTTCGTCTGCATCTGGTGTATTTGTAATAAACTGGGTCTTTGTGTAGTTCATGTGTAATCCTACTTTTGCCGCCTCATCTTGTAGTTCTTCCAACATATCTATCAATTCCTGTTTGTCTTTCGCGAACAGTACAATATCGTCGGCAAATCTTAGATTGTGCAGGCGTTCACCATGTATGTTCAATCCTTTGTTTTCCCATTGTAGCTTTTTAAAAATATCCTCGAGCACTAAAAAGAATAGTTTTGGAGATATTACGTCCCCTTGCCGAACACCTCTTTTGGCGTTTATTCTGTCAGATGATTCATGAAGTCTTATAGATGTTTTCAATGAGGTTTATATAACGTTGATCCACTCTGGCATTTCTCAAGGATTTTATTATTGCCCAGATTTCTACTGTGTCGAAGGCTTTCCGGAAATCGACAAAAGCCATCCATAGGTTTATATTATATTCTGTAGCTTTCTCGATCATCTGCCTTACTGTGTGTAGATGTTCTGTCGTGCTATAATGGTTTCGGAATCCAGCCTGTTCCTTTGGTTGGTAAACTTCGAGTTTTCGCTCTAATCTGTTGGTGATTATTCTGGTGAATAATTTATATATTTGTGATAGTAAGCTTATCGGCCGGTAGTTTTCGAAATCAGTCGGGTCACCTTTCTTGTAGATCAGAACAACTACAGCATTCTCCCAATCTTCGGGTATATGTTCTTCTGTTAGGCACTTATTGAATAGTTTCACTAGTTCATGTCTTGTCTTAGTATCGCTTTCCTTGAGCATTTCAGGCAGAATGTTGTCTTCTCCTGCCGCTTTACCATTTTTCATCTGGGATAACCTTTTCTCCAGTTCTTCCATATTTATGTCGAGAATTTCTTCTGAGTTTGCATTTACTATTCGTATTTTGTCTTCCCTTGTCCTTGTGTTTGCTATTTTAGATTCGTACAGATCTCTATAGAAAGATTCCACAACTTTTAGTATCTGTTGTCTGTCTTCTACTATGTTGTTTTTCGCATCTTTTATTTTGGTTATCTCTTACTCAGGTGTGTTATGTCTTTTAAATATATTTAGTCCTTTGTTGTGTTCTAATAGGGATTGCACTTGTTTCGTGTGATGTTTTAGTATATCCTGTTTCGCCATTTTTCTTGCTGTTTTGTTGGTTTCTGTGTATTCAATAGTGTCTCTTTTACCCTCGGTTATCAGTTTTCTCCTTTTCTCTAGTAGCTGTTTCGTTTCTATCGACAGTTTGTCCGGCGTTTTCTCTAGGGGGCCTATTATCTGTTCTGCTGTTTCTGTTATAATTGTTGTTATTCTCCTATTGTTATCATCTAATGACTCTTCTGTTTTTCCTGGATTGTTGGAAAAGTTTTCTTTCAGCCTTTGTTTGTATGTTTCCCTTCTTTCTGCTATCTTTTCTCTACTCCCTCT